TGGCATTTTGTTCACAGTATTCTGGAACATATTTATGGTGGAAATTAAGGAAAAGACAAAAAGTGTGAACAAGATAAAGGATGCTTAATAAAGAAGTTCTCTACACTATCAACATAGTTATTTTTGAAGGCTGTGGCAGAACCAAAATATGAATATTGAATGTCAACTGTTCAGGTTCAAATTAACTATTCCTCAGCTTGCATCTACTAAGCTCCAAAACTCCCCTCAGTATGTTTTTGCTATTTTTATAAGAATTGGTTTGTCTGTGCCTTTTCTTTCAGTTTTTGGGGGGGTTTTATTCAGTCCTCACTTTATTGACTTTGCCCTTTGGGAAAGGGTTTTTTGCAATCCACCTACTAATTTTCTGGGTGTCCTCCTGCAGCTTTTCTTCTTTTGACATTGGGTCTATCAGTTTCCATCAGTGTCCCTGTTGTCTGGATGTCAAAACATATATCCAGTCAAACTGTGTTAGCAGAATAATGTCAAGCAACTCTATAGTCACCACATCAGCAAAAGAGCTGCTTTCATGATGTCATTTTATGATTGGCTGAATACTTAATTCATTTTTAGAGTTATAAGGATTTCCCTGTCAAAACACAGAATCCTTTGTGCCATTGAAATGGTAGAAATCAGTAGTTAGGGAACAATCCACACTGGGTGTCTTGGGAGAGACCAGTCCCACAGGTATTTCAGATGACTGCTTATTGCAGCAGGAAATACTGAAGAGCTCATCAAAAAGGGGGCCACAGAAATATGTAATAGGGCTTCATTAGAGCATAAAAATATGACAGAAAGGATAGTGCTATGTCACTGTGATTTCTATTTTAGCATTCATTTATAGGCAACTTTCATCTTTATCTCCCTTTTCACTAATTCAGGCCTTTCTAGATTTATTTTTTCTTTGGAATCGCTGTTTTCCATATGTTATCTTAGTGGAAAGCTTATTCAATTACAGATTTTAACAAGCTAAAGAAAATACATTTTCTCCATTTTCTGCTTGTTTTTGAAAGACAAAAATAAAAAAAACATTCATCTTTCTCTGCGCAGTAAACTGATACCACATACCTAATCTCTTTAAAAACATCTTTCCAGAATGGCTGAACTCTGAAACTTGGCCATTCTAATAATTAGTGGTTTTAATCTATCTCTGAGCATATTTTTAAAACATCACTTTGTCTGAAATTTTCATAAATACAAGATTGACAGAGCATTGTTGAGTAGCAGGACTGTAAAGTAGTTAGATCCCCACTCCTAGCAAAGGGAGGCAAACACAAATCAGTACCACGCTGAGCCCACCCAAAAGTGAGGAATTCAGCACCAGTAGTGGAAGAGCCTGCAAGAGACTCTCTGGATTCTCAGCAGTGGATCAAATTTGCATGTTGCCTTTGCTTTTAACTTAATGATGGTGGGTTTTTGTAGGAGATTTTATTTTATTTATTATTCTTAATTTTAGGTTTTTGTTAAGACCAGGATGAATATTCCATAACATCCAGATAAAATGCATTCATACTGTGCTTCTGGAGACCTAAAGTCTAACCTGAATCTTCCTTGACATTGTCTCTTTGAACACCTAGAATCTTTCAGTCTCTGATGTTAGCCCCTACAAAAGTTCCTGGCCTCTGTTACACAGCAGTCTGGGCTCCCTTTGCATCCCCTGACAAGCACAAGGGGTGCTGGGCTCAGAGTCTTGACGGGTGCTTTGCATGAGGCAGAAGGGAAAAAAAAATCCCTTTTCCCAAATGAGACACTGCATCAGCACAGATATTAGAAAAAATATGGTAAGCAATAAAAAAATGCAAGTCCTTGGAGACTGGAGGGTGTCTCCTTATATTGTCTGCCTTGCACAATATTCTGTATAGTTTATGCTTTCATTGCAAAACAATTTGTCAGCGTCTTATTTGCCAAGACATTGTCAATATAACATAATGCAAGTCATGAGCTGCTGTCTGACAGTCCAATCCTGTAAACTGTGTCCTTTTATGCATTAAGGACTCCTTCAACAACAACAAAAAAAAGATCTATTTTTCCAGCAGTTCCTCAGACCACTCACACAGTGTGATGTGACCTGCAGAAGTTCCGTGACAATGAGTAAATGTCAATGTTGAAAGACACCTGCAGTGTTGTTTTCTTGCATTGAGTATTAGCAACAAAGTCAGGGCAAAGCAGTGACAGTGCTCAGAAGAGTGATTCTGCTGAAGGACTTTGGGTACAGCAGTAGGAGAGACCATGGAGCAGTTACAATAATCACTGCCATCTCTTATCTGTTTTGATTACATGGAAGGATCTACTCTGTCACCTATCAGACAGAGATCAAATTTTAAGCCCTTTAATCTCCCTTGTGAGTAAGTGTCTACCAAATCTTTCTCCTTTCATCATAACATCAAGGTAGGGGACCTACCAATACGCTTAAATCAGACTGGAAGATCATTAAAACAATGGAGCTCCACAGCTTCATGCTATTGCTACGTGTTCAGTAATAGTAAGAGAAAAGGTTGTTGCCTGATTTTAGTAAAATATACTCTAATAAGAATTATTGCTTGATCCATTCCATTTTGAAAGGCTTCAGCTGAGTTACACGGTCATAAATGAGACCACAGCAGTCTCCAAATCTGTTCAGTCTTACAAATCCATGCATATAACATGCTTTTTCTACTATAAAATGACTTAAATTAATATATGACCAAGGTGTAGATAAGAACATGGAGCAGCAAGTACAATGGCCACTGTGGGTAAAAGAAGAACAGTTTTAAATGGAATACTATGGTTTATCAGCTAAAGATTTGCAATTTTTAAAAACTTCATTCTTTTCCCCTACAGTAAAGTACAACCAAAAAGAAGATCTGGAAATCTGAAAATATGGAAGCAGAATAACAATCCAGCAAAGAACGGTAAGAAAGGAAAAATATCCAAATTTCATTGTTGAAACATTTTTTTATTCTGAAAATACTGGCAATTAGCACACTTAAGTTTTGTTAATTAAACTTCAATTGTTATACATGCGAAATGAATTATGCAACCTGTAAATCTTAATTACATTGTTAATTGCAATAACATTATGATCATTTTGTGATGCCTTAAATCAGTCAAACATGTTTCTCAATTTTGGAGTTGATCAGACCTGATGGCATTTTGAATATAACACACTGCTTGTACATTTTAATAGAATTTGCATCATTAATTATAATATTTTGATTAAAGTTTCAAACACTAGTATCCATAAACCAGAAAAACACAGCAGTATTTGGATGCAATATGATTTTAACACTTCATGCAGCAAATGCTTCTGGTTAAACAATTGGTATTAATTATGCAAACATGCATCATTCATGCACTGGGGGTTTATGTCCATCACAACAGTGAAGCAGCTTCAGATTGAGACACAGATGCAGCTGGCAGAAGCAGCACCTGTAGTGAAACAGCTCAGGAGCCTCAGGTGCTGTCATGCCAGGGCATTTGTAAACCTGTTCACTGTGCTCAGATAATGTAAGTCAGTATTATTTACAGACATTGAGACACTGCATCAATTTTATGCCAGATGAGTGTCTGGCTTCTCTTAGCATCAGTTCAGCCTCAAGTAATTAATTTAATTATATCAAGTAATTCATTTAATTATAAGTAGCCTCAGCTACTTACAATTAAATGTTGAAAGCAGTCATTGGCATGTCTGGTGAAAGCAGCCCTGCAAGAGGGACTGAAAGAGCCATCGGTAGCCCACAATCAGGGTAAGGCTTCATCTAAAGTACCAGGATCCCGCTTGAACACATGAATTCCAGAAAGTTGTTAAATTACAGGACAGATTGCTGTTAGATGGAGCTCTGAGAAGAACTAAAAATCTAGAAAACACAGCTTAAAAGGTAAGATGAATAATTAGAGATAATTAGTGTGAAGAAGAATTACCTGGGATAACAGTCTGCATACACAGAAAAGGTTGGTATAAAATGAAGGAATTAGCTTGGCAGAAAAGTGAAAACAGCATAATTGGCAGCAAGAAAGAATTGTAGTGGACATTATTAGGAAAAGCTTTGTAATGCTAAGAACCAGTCCTTTGCTCTTTGCAAAGCTGTGGAGGTGCTCTGTCACCAGGGTTTCAGCAACAGACTGGACTAACATCAATCAGAAATGAAGTAGATGTGGCTGGGCCTATACTGGGGCAGTCCTTAAGTGACCTTTTACGTCCTCAGCATAAGTTTTGTAGATGAAGAAAGTGCTTCACTGTGCTGCTAATCCAGAATTTCTTGTAAGAACTGGCATCCTGTAATGCTCTGCACTAGAGGAGGAGATGGTTTTCCTGTTGGGACAATCCACAGCTCCCGAAGGAATCTGCTGATCTGTGGCACTTCCCTGGGCAGTGGCTGCTGCCATCAATCTCATACCTATGTCCTAGAGTCCAGGTCTGGATTATATTATTAAACAAGGCTGTAGTACAACCTTCCAGACACCTCAATCCTAGTCAAACTTTACCCTGAAGTGTGAGCCACAACTTACAAATACAAAATGTTATTTTTTCTATCAGCTTTAGTGATATCCAGTGAAGTTTGAATAGTTTTAACTGAGGCATGAAAAAGCCAGATTGTCTTGTCGTCACAGACATATAACTCATAAGTGACTCCACACAAAGGTGTGCAGTGTTAGAAAGAGGAAAAGCTGGTGTAGGTGGGTGACCTTCACCAGAGCCTGTTTGCTGCTGTGAAAGGGTGGGACACAGCAGATCCTTGCAGCCCTGGTTCTGGTGAAAGATTTCATTGTGCTCTTCAAGTTTGCTACTCCACAAGGCAAAGTTCAGGTTGTGCTTCAGTGGGATCCCGGCAGCCAATTCATGCACTGTGCTTTGTGTCTATTTTAAGACCAGGCTCTTCCCTAGCCTGCCTTACAGCACTGAGCCAAATTCCCTTCGAAGTTGCATTCAAACGTACCTCTTGGGCTAAAGGGTCTAGTAAGCAAAATAAATCAATTTTTTTTTTTAAAAAAGAGGTAAAATTCCCTAGCCTGCCTTACAGCACTGAGCCAAATTCCCTTCGAAGTTGCATTCAAACGTACCTCTTGGGCTAAAGGGTCTAGTAAGCAAAATAAATCAATTTTTTTTTAAAAAAATGGTAAAGACAAATTAATAAGAAGTCTTCAAAATCAAAAATATCTTTGTTTTGTTTTGTCTGTTTTGTTTTTTCCATCTGCATTCTATTCAGTATTTCAGGAGACAGATTTAGGGCAGAAAGTTTATAGGTGGTGCAAACAATTCCCTGGCACCTCCCCTTTTTCTTCTTTAAGAGAATGTCTAACTTTCTGCTCAGTAGAACAACTCCAGAGCTGATTACAGGAAAGATCCACCAGCCTACTCCTGGGTGATCCCATGCTTTATTTCACTGCAGCTGAACATCTCCATCTTCCTCAGATGCTTCTCAGCAGTCTCTTTGTACATGAGTTTGTAAAAAAGCTTTTGAAATCATTGAAAAGTAAAGCAGGAATATGCCATGAGTGTACTTGTAGGTAAAATTAAGAAATATTCTGGTTTGATTTCTGAAGGTTGGCTACAAGCCCTGCAGCTGAAGTTCTCTAAATATGCTTTCAAAATAAAAAATACTCACTAAATGCCTCTTGAAAGAGTAAATAGTCAAAGCAGCTTTGAGCTTCATTTTGTGCTTCACTTGCAAATAGTTATGTGACCCAGCCTCACACCTCAGCCTCTAACTCTGCAACAGGTCACCCCAGCATAGTGTTACAGGCTTTAACCTTGCCCTGCCATTCATGCTTAATGTGGTCATGGCTTGATTTCTCATGGCATGCTAGGACTCCTGGCCAAATTTCATTGCTAACAGGGAAAAAAGTCACACTGACAAACTGAACATTTCCAGTGCAATTACAGGAAGACAGAGTGGCTTTTCATTCCAAAAACACATATATCCACACACATATACATGTGTATATAGACAGCCACACTCATATGTGTATATAATATCTTGCCTTTACATTGCATTTAAGAGTTACAGTGCTCTTCTGAGAGAAAAGCAGCCATTCTCCTTGTCAGAGAGCTGCAACTCTGCCAGTCAGTTCAGTCTGAGAACGCCAAGTGAGCCATTTGAGACGTGTGATCTTTCAGCTGCACAGCATCCCATTCATCAAACACTTCAGCAATGTAATATGTAAAGCTGGAAAAACAGAAGCTGCAGATGCAAGAAAAATCAATTAGCAGAAACGCCCATATAAGAAAAAAGGCCTGCACAGAATCATCATATTGCCATTCTGAATTTCCTAAAGCTACCACCTCCCTTCTTTTGGGTGATCTTGGAACATTATACATTCTGTAATGAGCATGAGAGGATAGGAGTGTTCTAATCCCCTAATTAGGCACTGATAATTTAATAGAACACTGCATAATTTAATGTCACTAGGTAGCACTGAGCACAAAGTTGGCATTATATCCTTTTCTCCACTCCCCTGCCCCACCAAAAATTTCAGATATGGCAAGCCTCAAGTTTAGGAAAGAGGCTGTTATAGTTTGCAAATAGTTTCCATCTGGAAGAAGGCGCACCCAACAGAATTCAAACAATGCACACTGCAATCTCAGTTACAGTGGCATAAATTAGGATCAATTCCACTGAGGTCAGAACAGTTATATCTGGGAGACACGTGAGGACTGAGGCTAACTAACTGCAAGGGAGTCAGTTCTCATCTCCTTTCCCATAAGTCAGGCTGGCCCTAGTTTCCAGTTGGACTCTGTCCACATAGTGGGCCAAACCTGGCTTTAAATTTCAAGAGAATAAATGTGGAGATACTGATTTTACTGGAGCTATTCCCAATTACAGTAGTGCAAAGTTTGACCCAGAGACTATTTTTATAGATCCAGCACTGAGCAGTGGCCAGCAGCTGACGTCCCATCATACTCTGGCCTTGCTGGACTGGAACATTCAGGGTACAAAGGCATTTCTGTGTGATCTGGAGTACCACGCTTCAGACCCATGTTTGATCACAATTATTTCTCACTTTGATGAAGGCAGCAATTCCCAAAATAAAGTGCACATGTGGAACACACTTATCTACCTAGTTCCTCTCCTCCCCCAGGAATATTTTTCGACTTGTTAACTACTGGAACCTGATCCTCATGTAATACAGGAAATGTGTAAGGGTGATACCAACGACCTTAGCAAAGTGCAAGCTGTGAATAGCCCTGCTGAAGCTGAGCAGCCAGAAAAGACAAAAATGTTGGCATGCCAGCTGTTGACTGCTACTGCAGGTGAATGGCTTTTAGAAACATTTAAACCAGTTGGAGTAAAAACAGGCCAATCCTCACTAATGGTAAAAAGGTGAGAGAGAAGGTAATAAAGCATAAGAAGTGCAGTGACCACATACAGTGACACGAGCAGCAAAGTGCCTTCCTTTGATGGGAGGAAGGCAGAGCTTAGCAAGAGGCCACAGAAGCACTGGTGTGAGCTGTAAGGCTGATATGGGCACTCCAGGAGGAATACTCTCCTGGGTGGAGAGGAGGAAGCAACACCAGCTCAGGGGCCTGAGGTCCGTCTTGGCACCTCTTCTCCCAGAGGGGCAAATGTGGCTCTGCACAGCTGAGTGCCCCTCAGGGCAGCAATTATAAAGGGAGTGAGAATGGTAGCTGTATATGAACAAGGCCCTATTAAGAATTCTCTCCCATTATTTAAGGTTGAACTGATGCAGAGTTTAATGAACCACTGCTGTCTGACAAATAATAAATACACCACACAAATGAATTTCAGGGTTAGTGAGACTCTTCATGAATTTGAATGGAATTTAGCAAATAGTCCCAGATGAAACAATGCAGAAAAAAATATAAAATGTCAAAGCACTTCATTTTAGTATTTTCAAAATGGAGTGATTCATTTTAGAACTGCCAAAACACTTTCAAAAACTTTCAAAACAGGCTTTTAATCTGGCCATTTTAAAATTGCTCTAAATTTTAAATGGAAAGAAAAAAAGCTTTTAAACATGAAACAGTCCAAAACCAAAAATGAAGCCATTCTTTTGAAGTAAAATTAAGCATTTTGGGTTGAAAAAAGTAATACTTTTCTTGATTTTTTAATTTTACCAGCTGTATTTCAAAACTCAGTTTGACCAAAACTAAAATGAAATTCTGAAAAAAAAAAAAAAAGTTGTTAGAACCATTAACAAAAATCTATGGTGAACAAAAATCAGAGAGTGGTTTGTGCTGGAAGGGACCTTTAAGGGCCATCTATTCCAACACTCTGCAATACACAGAGACCTCTCCAACAAACCAGGCTTCTCAGAGCCCCATCCAACCTGACCTTGAGTTTCCAGGGATGGGGCACCTCTCTGGGCAACCCATGCCAGTTTTTTACCACTTTGTTGTAAAAAACTTCTTTCTAATCTAAATTCAAGCATTACCAAGCTTCTGTTCATGGTAATCTACTGCCCAATTAATGTCTCTGAGTTTAATGGAGCAGAGTGAGGCTCATTATTTTCCAAAAACTAGTTGAGCTTATTGATCTGTTTTTAATTGGAAAATCTGAAAATATTTGTTTTTATAACAGTAAAATAACAAAGGTTCCACCTGAAAACACACAGTAAAGAACATTAACCATGCAAATGGTAGGTTTAAGTACTTAAAGATATGACTGTTCTCTGCAGTGCTGCATCAGAATCTGTGCCTGCTTAACTTGATCCTGGAGCTTTTTTCCAGCCCAAGGTCCTTGAGCATCCCCACTGCCCTGGCTTGCTTGCAGGCAGATCTAGTCTTGCAGAAGTAGTGGAGTGGGATATCAGCTCACACCCAGATTCTGCTCCACAGCAGCACTGCTGTCACCTGCTCCTGCCCCACTCAAGCTCAGCCACACAAGACACTGGAAATGTGGCACTTGTGAGCCCTTCACAGAGAGCTGAAATGAAGCACCAAACTCCCATCCTCCTGACAGGATTGATACTTTCAGCCAGAAATATTTGGCTTGCAGGTGTTTAGCTGTCTGATGGATAGCTCTAATTTTCTACAGAAAGCAGATACCTTTTTGTGGAAAAAATATGCTCACAAGCTTTTCCTTTAAGGAACAGAAGGAGATGGAAAATTTTTAACGTAGAAGATGTAGCAACATGTGTGGTTTCTACACACCCCTCAATCTTTTCTGCACGTCCACTGACTTGCCTTGCTGTAGAAAATTGCACTAAAGTTGATTGGCTTTGAACCCAAAACAATGCCCAGTTTCTCAAGCTCTATCAATGGATCTATCAATGATGTTTCCATGTATGGACATTGACATTTCTCAAATACCAGTCCTGTTAGAGGTAGAACAACATGCTACTGTACTGCGTGTCACTGGATATTATGATCACATTCCTATGCTGGCCAAAGGGAAGAAAAGGCTGTTTGCAAGGCCCTGTAGGCACAAAGAACCCAGAACAGTTCCCCAGGAAAGGGGAGACAGGTTTTGTAGCTATCTCAGAGGCATGAAATGTTTTATTACCAACACACATATGCAGACATTCTAGACTTTATTTGCTTCCAAAATAAAAAGACATATTATTGCAATAGCAAAAAGAAATCCATCTGTGTTTGAGGTTTGTTATGATTTGAGCAAAAGGAAGGAAATCCAGGGTCAGAGATCACTCCCTCCCTACTGTCTATCGCAACAGGTTACCATCCTTAATTTTACCCAACTTTGTCATATTGGAGGCTTGATCCTTAACTTTGAAGTTTTTCCCCTTTCTGGAATTAAGCCAGAACCACAAAATATTTCAAAACACAGGGCTTGATTGAATTGAATATAGTTTTTCTCTGTGAAAGTAAAACCAAGCTGAAAGTGTTTGCCCTTTCAAAAGATGTCTTTAAAATTGACATGTTTCATTCATATTTATATTGGCTCTGGTTATTTGATAAAAACTGTAGGAAATGTATTGCAAAATATTATTTTTAAAAGACAAATAAGGGAACTTTAATTTTTAATTTTTTTCAAATGTATTCTGCATTATTTTATAAATGCTTTCCAGATTTGGCTTGACACTATTACATATTTCAGGATTATCCGAAAGTTAATTCAATGATTCTTTACTTTAACCATCCTTCTAGCATTTTTATGTACCATTGTTAATTGATTTTAGTGTTCTCTTCAGGAATATTTTATATAAAATCACAGGTTTGAAAATCAAAATCAAGAATACATATATACACAAATGTACACATCTATATGCATATATATACTTATACATACATATACATACCTATGCATACATATGGACACACATATATGGAGCTCAAAGAAATTACTCATAAAAATGCAATGTGTTCAACCAGCCAACTACAATAAGCACATCATTCATTACTTTAAAATTCTATTGACTTTAGCGATAACTTTTCCTGAATAATGAATGTACATTCTAGACACAGTAAAACTTAAGGAGTTTAACAAAATATTTTAATAGAGCTATGCTGAAAATAAAGAGAATTTCACAGAGGGAGGTTTCAGTGGCTGATATGGAGGGAAGAAATTTTCATATCAATAAATATGGTGGCATCTGCCAGGTAAAATGTTGTAAAAATCCTCTGGGTGCTACTTCCCTCCCACTAATGTGTTGGACAGTTTAGATTAACACCATATCCCTGTTCATAGAAGGAGCTGGAAACCAATATAAATACAGAGAGAGAGAGTTCATTTTGCAGCCTTGTTTTCCCTGCACTCCTGCTATCTCTGGGATAGGGGTTGGTGGTATGTACAGAATAATGGAAGAGGAGGAAAAACAGCCCCAGGAACAGGTCAAAACATGGAGGGAGAAAGCACTGGGGGAGGAAGACAGAAGGGAAGGCAGGGAAATATTTACAGAGGAGCTCTTGCAGCTGCTTTCAGATAGACTGAGGTTTTCTTTCTCTTCTGTATCCTCTTCATGTCCTCTTCCCAACTTCTGACCTTGCCTTGCTTTGACCTCAGGTGGGAATTATGCTCCTAAGGCTGAGCCAGGCTGCTCACCCACACCTCACCCTGTCCACAGTGCTTCTCTAATGCAGGCTAGCAGCAGTCCATGGGAATGATTTATTATAAACTAGGTGCAATTGAAGTTCTCTTGTCCTTTGGGAAATATTTGTAGATAGAGATCGTTATGTAGCATCTGTAGTTTCCAAGTATCCATATGCAGGATAAATTAGGCAAAAAATTATTCCCTGACTCTGCATTTACACTGGAGTCTTCTTGGCAGAAAAGAGTGTTTACTTATTTGTAGCAGTATAGCAAGACCTTTCCCCTATTGTTTGCAAGCTTTAGCCAGCAGATGAGAAATATAAGCGACTTCAAATTAATATTTGTACCAAGCTCATTTATGAGTGAATTAAATTACAGCTTCCGAAATGAATGTCAGAATTAGCTTGTACTGTGCTTCACTGGCACTGTTGTATTAACATTTATGGTGTCAGGCCCATTCATTTTGACATACAGAGCTCTCCTCTGGTGTCACCAGACAAGTTACTGTCTGTAACACTACGAGTCACATGGACATGTAGTGAGATTCAGGTGGAAGTCCAGAAAATCAGCTCCAAACAACTTCTATGGATTAGCTTCTTCAAATAACGGGCAGTGATAAATGCTCCATTATAGCAAAGGCAAAAATGTTTCTGTGAAAAAATATTAAAGCACACTAATTGTCTGTTTTCTGCATGGACAGCTGTATAAAGTCTCCTTGCATTGTTTTTTAAGAAAAGCTCTGGGCTGGTCTGTTATTTGTGAAAATGGTTCCATGTATTTTTCCTCATAGCCTTTGTGTGTGAGAACCTAGGACTAATACCGTTATGTTTTCCACTCTTTAGTGAAGAAGTATGTTCCTACCAGAGGAGAATTCTGGAGTAAATAGAATAAAAATAAGCAAAATATTTGCAGGTCATCACATTGATTCTGTTTTTTAAAAAAAACTTGGGTCAGAAACATTGTGGTCAGATTTATTGCAATCCATCCCTGGTAAAATAATGAAAAATATTCACTCAATTAAAAGTGCCAGAATTCAAACTAAGTGTTATTCATAAAAAATGGTTCAGTTAGCTGAATCCATAGTGTGACAGTGACAGCTATAATAGAAATCAGCCATGCTATGATATTTTTTTCTTTAAGAGAATTCACAATGTGTTTTTAATTAGCGGGAATCCAGTTTTCAAAAACCATGGCAGGTTTCTGTGCAACCAATCTGCCACTACCTGGTCCAGTAATGCCAGCATGATTTAAAAATTAAGGGTGGCCATGTGACCCAGGGCTTCAAAGCCCAAGCCAGGGATAGTTTCTACTACAACATTTCAGGTTTTCCTGGGGAAAAGGTATCCTCAAATTAAAAACAGTTGACTAGACAGTAAATGAGAAGGTCCAAATAATGCCCAACTACTACAACACTGAAAGTTGCCAGGCTCAGAGCTGAACTGTGTGGCTTTTATGCAAAAATTGTAATTTTTTTCCCCTCAAAACTGAAAGAGGGCAGGGATTCAATAGTTTCCCCTATTTTTTCCCTAAATAAAAGGGATTTCAAAGGGTTTGGCTTCAGTTCTAGTAGAGTAGTAGTAGTAGCTCAAGTAGACAAAAGGAAGTGAGAAGCGTTTTCTAACCAAACTGCACAGTGACATCACAAGGTACATGGTCAAGTTAAGCAATTAAGTCCATTTCTTGGCTGCAAGATTCCCATCTGAGGGCAACTTACCTTATTCTGATGTGTCTGAAGTCAGCAGGACTGTTTCCTAAGACAATGAATGGGGTAAGGCCTTGTTCATGAGAGATTCACAGAGTGTAGAGGCTTGTCTGATAACAGAAATAGCAGATGAAAAAATTATTTACATTTAAACAAACAGTATTTCAAGAAATGCTGAGAGATTTGCACCATAATACATAAAGTAATTTGCAATGTGTAAAAACAAAGAAGGCTTGATTCTAAATTTTAATCTGTTTTACTCTTCCTTACAGTTTAAACTCTTCTTGCTCCACAACCACAAGTCCTCAATGTCTATATTTTTACAAAAGGAAGCACTGGACTTTAGACAGGTGTTGGACTCTGGGCTGATGGTTTCCAAGCAAGAAAGTTCCAAAGTCAAATGAAGGTTTATATCTCTGTATTTAGAAAGTGCAGAAATAACATTTCAAATTTCTCATAAAGTGAGAATTTATATCCTACAGTCCTACATAATGTCTGTGACTGCAGTACTGTTAGGCTATGACAGAGTTTGTCCCATGGATAATGTTATTTAATTACAGGCGTATAGACATACACAAACACATACAAAGCAACAACACTGTATTCAACAAGTAACTTCAATAATGGCAGAATTAGATAATATAACTGAGATCTTTTACATAGGAGTAATCCCATTTACGTCAGTGGAATAATTTGCTATGACAAGGGTTTAGAGGGTCAGATCTGTATAACAACCATCTGTGCTCCTTAGGTTTTATCCTCAGATAACATTATTCCCCAGCAACAGAAAGAAAATGCCACACTGACAGGTAACCCAACCTATTTCCAAGCAGCAAGCCCGGCCCCCGAGTGCTTAGGTGTGACATTTGACTGCAGTTGCTTTCACACTTTGATTTATTCTGTGCTCTCACCATTGCCCTGTTCCCCCTGTGCAAATTCTTGCAGACATTAGGACACTGTCACCCTGCTCGTCCCCTTGTCAGAGCTGAGCTGTGAGCTATTCAGCCAACACCCTGAGACTGACCCCAGCCAAGGTGGGGGCACTGCATGGTGCCCTGTGCCTGGCAAAGGTGGACTGAGACCCTCAGGGCTGTGGCAGCTCCTGCAGCAGGCACCACAAACCCTAATTGTTACTGGGAAGAGACTTCTGTATTAAGGCACCAAATGTTGAGCCTTCTGTAAATGTTTTAAAGTTATGCAAAATAACCTTCACTACAGTATAATATTGCTGCTATTATTATACTTAAGAAATTAATCAATTTTACATATTTTCCCTAACAAATGTTCAAAGGAAGACTAGGACCAGACTGCAGAAATTGGCATTACCCACTACCATAAGTTAACAGTATCTTTTTTAGGCAATATTCTCTCTGTAAAACAGCAGTTTCAATGTAAAAATTTATAACTTAATTCTGACAAAAGTATTGCAAAATCATGATATAGTTAAGGGTTTTTATAAGACAGTATGTATGAAGCTTTTAGTTTTATTTTTTAATAGTTTAACTTGCAAATCAGAGAGGATTTTTTCTTAAAACCAAAGAGAAAACCTGTCCTGTTTGCAATGAGCAGCACCGAGAGAAGATAAGAAAGCTTATGAGCAATATTTGCAAAAACTGATTTAGGGTCAGCATCAGAAACTCTGCATCATTAAATGTCTTTGCCAAAGGCAGGTTTTCCCAAGAACGTGAGAGGATTAGATTTCCAGAAAAGGATACCAAAGAGAGTAGAAAGAAATGAGATGTCAGTGGATGAAGAAGGGCTTTAGGCACATCAGTATTTTTTCTAATAGGCTTCTCAGATGTGAACTTTCTCATGGAGTAACAAATCTGCTGCAATGGGAGAGGATTTCAGAATGATTGGCAGATTCTTCTCAGTCAGAGCAAGAGCATCCTCACCAGCTGGGTGCCCAGGGCACCTGGTAACTGGCAGTCCTGGACTGAGCCAGGGTCTCTGCCTGCCAGGGCATCTCAGCCTGCTCTGAATAGCAAAACAGTCCCTGAACCAGACAAAGGAGTACTGCAAATCTATTTGGTAGGGGCTAAGGCACTCTCTGGCACCTGGGAAATTGTGATTCAAATCGCTGTTCCAAAGTGGAGTAGAGAATGTGTAGGACACAGAAAGTGAGTGAAGTAAAGGACTGAGGAGCCAACTCCAGCCACTCAGGAGCTTCAGACTTGAGTCAGGGCACCTAGAAATGAGAGCTGATGGTCAGCTTTGAAGCCTGATCCAAAGGGACCACAAAATAAAAACAGAGGACAGTATTACCTGTGTTGATGTATCTATCTGAATCCTCAGCAGTGTCATCCTGACATGAATTCTCATCTCTTGCAGGAGGATTCCTGCTGCTTCCCAGTAGTGCTGCCCCTAAAGTGACTTAAAGGAAAAGATTCATCAAGGAGGGGAAGCAACCAAGGTGAGTCTAGAGGAAGACATCTTTATCACCTAGCAAAATCTGTTCAGTCAACTCCAGCTAATGTGCCTCCCAAGCTGTAAAACAAAAGTGGATTATGTGTAGTAATACTATAAGACCAGCATGATACTCCAAGTAGTTTCCAATTAGCATAAATATAAGGTTATAATAGAAAAAAGTTGCTGTAAATCTTCACAATTTAGCATTTTAACATTCTTGCTAACGCTTCCTATGAGCAAAGTGATGAAGAGCAGGACCTGCTGTTGGGAGAAGATAACTCCCATGCTGTGCGTGCACACTGCAACTAAGCTTTCACTGCCACATCTCTATGGCACACAAGAAGGACATAAACCACCAGGAAATATCAACACTGATTTTCAGAGGAAAAAATGCAGCATGAAGCCATGCAGTTTTGCTGGACCCAGAGTTGTGTGAAGCTCAGAACTTTAGTTTACTTTTGCTTCAGCCAGGAGGCTGGTTTGCCTTGCTCAGTTTCCTAACAATGAATTTTAATTTTTCTGTGCTGGAAATTCAGAGCTAGTGCTAAACCTAGGTAAATTTTGCCATGTTCTCTCTTCTCTTGCATGTTATCAGCTCAGAGTTGATATGTTTTCTGATAAAGTGGGGAAACAGTAGTACCTTGTGTGTTCAGAATCATCACACTAAATGTTTCAAGAGCAAACAGAAGAAAAGACCTAGTGTTGGTTTCATATAGACCCAATGACACAGTCCTTCCAAGACTATCCCTAGAAAGAGAATATAATTTTTTTTCTGGGTCAAGGACACGCATGGCTGGTGTGATCTTGAAAGCTGCAGATCCATGCCTGCCAGCCTTCGGCTTTGTTTTGTAAATACTTTCCTTCCCTCTATGAAACAGCAAGCCCCAATTTTTGTTTCAGGTTGGGTGGGATAGAATCACCTGGACACAGGGCTGTGCCAGGGTAACAGAAGGTGCAATACTGTGTGCTTAGTGAAATTAGTTTTTGCATGGAAACTCAATGATTTAAACCATGGGTGGTTCACACCGGGCTGGACCAAGTGAGATTATCATCAGTGCCAACTCACACCACTGCACTGTTGTAACAGAGTTCTTTCAAGTTAACTCCTTACAGTTTCTCTGGGTAGAGAATTGTCTCAGAAACTTCTAGTCTGGCTCTTCTGGCCAAAAATATGATTAGGGCTGTCACAAGTGAGACAGAGTAGCTGGTGTAACAGTGCTCTGACAGGAGCAGCACTCCATGTTCAGGAATTAGTACAGTATAGCCTGAAGTGCAGACTTTGGTTTCCCAACAGAGACTTTTGATCCACCCCTTCTTCATGTGCCACACTCACAGCCCTGTATGACCAAGAAGATGCTTTTGGAAGAACATTCTGTGTCCCAGTGGTTGCCCGTGCACAAGTACTGTGGTTACCAGCCTTTCACAGCAGCTTCAGTAATTAATGACATTTCAAATCTTCATGCTACTTTTTGACAAATGACTATATCATGCATTTGGCTCGTGTAAAAAGTACTGTTCAGTCAGAGATCTAACCACAGAAAAGAACATTTTTAAAGCAGTGTTTATATTTTGTAAGGATTAAAGAAACTATATGACATTTTCCTGGACCTATAAACAGCACGAAGTAGAATGAAGTATTGAGCCAATAACAATGTCAAAATCTTGTAGAAAAATGAACGTGAAAGCTCAACTTTACCAGATAATTCATATTTCAATTTTTCTGGCTTTATGATATATCATTTATGTGAGAGAATAGTTGTTATTATTAACTGCTTTTTCTGAAAATTAAAATCCAAAATATGTTCACAGGTAAACAAATTTTTCTACATCTCTGCTGTCAGAATTGAATCCACTGATTATATTAAATGCATTTTCCTGGCTACTCTCCCAATGTGGAGAACAATTCAAATCATGTTTCTTTGAACATTTAGCAGCTGGCAATTTCTGGCTGCAGAGCACCTGCCAAGAAGACACTGTGCTTACAAACAAAATTATACACCCACTTACATGTACACACAGAACAGGTCGTGTTTATCCCTACACTAATATCAGCTTCCACAGTGCTGGAATGAAGCACCTTCACTAGGCAATTGCTTCAGCAATAAATTTGCCTCTATTATTGCTTTGCAGGATACATTTCTTGGAGAATGGGCAGTAGCTGCCAGTATCTTTGTCTACTGTGAGTACAGCAATAAAAAGAATTGATCAGATGCGTACTGAAAATGCAGTTCAAATGTAGAATAAATTTCTACCTTGACCATTCAGGCAATATAGACAGGATTGATGCATTCTGTCTGTCTGGTCACCCTCAGGATATGGATCTCCTACAGGCATTCTTCTGGAGGGAGCAAGAAGTAATTACAATTGCATTTGTTCTGCAGTGGCATTTTCTTTCCTTATTGCTCCTTTTTACCCCACACTGGGAATGGAGATTGCAAGATCGCTGCAAAGCAATGCTGTGGCACAGTAGGTATTAAAAGGCCATAAATGTATACAGGGAATTATCATTTAATGCAGTGAATATAAAACTGAAGCAGCTATGAGTTGGAGGATGCCTAAGTGTGGAAAAAGGGTTTAACCTGGAGAAATCTGAAACTTATCCCTCGAGCTTAGCTACCTCTTGGAGAGAGTACCAAGTTCCTCCTTTCCTGGGGGCCCCACTGGTGGAGGGATCTTTCTGGCAATATTAACGCCACAGGTTTGTGGTGGAGGCAGCCTAGTCCAAGTCACATCTAACCAAATTATTTCTGTGTTCAGGACATTCTCACTTTGGAGTACTCAGGACCCTGGATCAAGGCTAAATTGTGGTGGGAAATGTGGCCTGCTCCAGAAGTGCTGGTGGCAGTCCCTGCACCTGAGTACCTGCCAGTCCTGGCTGCTGCCCCAGACACTCCAGGGTAAGTGCATTTGACTGTCAGGCTTTACTGTGCCCCTAGCACATGCACTTTGCAGTGTGCTCAGTGCTGCAGTGCCTGCTCTGGCACTGGGAGGGCTCTGCCCTGCCTGGCCCGGAGCAGCAGGGCTGGCTCCCAGTCACCTGTGGCACTGGGCATCGTGGAGAGGAAACCTCAGCAAAGCCCTCGGTGTCCTTGGTACCCTCCCCAGCACCTCTACAGGAGCTACCCAGGGAAGCTGGGATTTGGACATGGCTTGGTACTTAAAACTGCAACAAATTGCTGCCAATAATAATTAAAAAAGGAGTTAGTTAAATGCGTGGTGCGAATGGGAAGTAAGATTAGAGATGACACTTAGACCAGGAGGCCTTTTTCAGGCTGTGGAAAAAAATAGACCGCGGTTATTTTTCCCACAGCCTGGAGAAGGCCTCATGTCCTAAATGTCATCTCTAATCTTGCTTTCTATTTCTAGTGTATATTACACTGCTCTGCCAGTGCTGCCATAGTTAAAGTGGTGTCAGTGTTTCCATTGTAAACCCCTATTTTCAGAGGTTTGTAACTCAACCATTAAAATTTTGCTCTGGGCTGAAACTTAGAAAACAAGTTCTAGAACTGAAACATATTTAATTTTTTTTCTTCCTGTTATTAAAAAAAAATCATATCTTAAGCAGAAAATTTTGTAAGTCATTAGACTATAAGAGAAACACATAATTTGTGAAGTTTAAAATTACTCCAAAAGTAATATTAACAGCTTTTTGAGGCAACTGTGAACTTTTATTTTTAATTCGCAATTCAGATATATTGCGTTTTTTTGAATGAATAGCCACGCAATCAAGTCAAATAATTGGAGTTTTAAGACTTTGAGTAAATATTTATAGGACTGGATCAATAATCTGCATTTTATAAAAGCTCCTAAGTACATATTTATATAATAAAATGTAGAAACAATGCATCACAAACAAGTCAATAACTTGCTTTTTGAAAATTTCACAAATGTAGTTCCACAAGCCAATAGTCTGCAAGGGATTTTTTTCACATGAAAAGGGCCTCTATTTAGCTAAAAAAAACCTTACTCATGTAGAAATAATCAGATGGGGTTCATCCATCTTTCCCTTTTCCATGTGCTGCTGCAGTGACAGAGCTGCATATCCAGTTTGGGTGAGGCAGGAAAGGTGCCACACACAGCTGCTGAGGTTTGCAGAGCACCCCAGGAGGCTGTGCAAGAATTATTTGAAGTGAGACAAAGGGGTTCTGGAAAGGATTTTGGTAATATCATTGAATTCTGGTTACTGGAAGAAAACAGCTAGGAAAACCTGCCAGATAACTGAGGAGCTGACAAATACAGGAAAGTCCCATGATTTGGAACATGAGAAATACTGAAACAAATAATAGAAATATATATTTGACAGGGAAGTACCACTAGAAGTATGGCTTCAATCATTACATGCACTCTGCCCTTATTTTGTGTGCTGAAAGACATCACTATTTTAACAGACAAACACTTTTATTTTGCAATTGGATTTTTACCAGTGAATCCTATTGGAAAGTTTTTGGGAAAGGAATATCTGACTCAGAATGTACATTTGAAGAGCAAAAGATTGCAGTAATTTTCCTGACTGAGATCTAAATAAAACCCGTGGATGGTAATCACATTGGGAGTTTTGCAAAATTAGTTCAAGGGACAATCCAGAAGTACTAATAAAACCAGATCAAAACTTTCTGTTCACACCGAAGTAGATAAAGACATGTCTGGTTTAAGGCATGTTTGTTACCATCTGTATATTCCATTGACCTCTAACACATAAATAAATACATTACCATTTAATAAGAAGACAATTATCAATGCTCTTATTCAAAGTCAGCCCTGAATTTTGTTGTAAATACTAGTATTAGCCTTGCTTCGGGTATTGTACCTAATTTATTTATTACAGATGACATTTTTCTAATAATGCTTCAGTTCAGTTTCTACCTTTTTTTACAACCCCAATTTAAACACTACAAGGCATGATTTTATAATCCCTAGAATAAAGTCCATTAAAGTCACTAAATCACTTGAAACCTGGTCCAAAT